TGTAAACGCGATGCAAATAGAAACGTTAATCACTAATTACCAAATGATTGTGCAAAACGTGGCACGATCACACATTGGCTACGCCAGTCAAACATTTTCATAACACCAATCATTAAATGCAAAGATGTGGCATACAAACAGCCAAGCAACTAAAATTTAACACTATTTGGTCACAATAGTAACACTTTAAATGGCTACATCAATTAAAAGCAACCCCGAAATTATCCGATGTTACATATTTAGAAATCATAGCCAACTGTGGCAACCAACCAAATGCAAGATTTTGTAGACGAACATCCTGGAACATTTTGGTAAACCATACACTCCGTTTTCACTTACGGAAAACTCCGTTCCTGGTACAAAAGTCACAGTATGTTTTTTTCGGAAGTTTACAAAGAATAAAAGCATGCTTTACTATAATAATAACTTTTAGCATGTTTTCAAAATAAGCAATTCAGGTACGTTTTTAATTGATAAAATGGATAAATACAACCGTTAAAGTCTATTTTTTATAGAATTTCTTATTGATAATTTTTTACCATGAATTTTAAATAACACAGAAAGTTTGATTAAATTAGTAACATTCTTCGTTGCCATATGTTCATATATATGCCATTCAATTTTTATGAAACATTTATCGATATTTGAATACGTATCATTAACTTTTCGTACCATCGGTGCTGATTACCCCAGAGTGGCCTGCATGAGATGGACCTACGAAATTTCATTAATTATACAAGCGTAAATGGACGCCCGTTGCACTATTTGTTTCAAATTCTTTATCATATTCATAATTACGTATCACAATTACTATGAAAGTACGTACGTATCAAAGCTCGATCAATAATGCTAAACGTATTTATAAATTGAATAGCTCGAAAATTGTACAGGAAATTTTGAAGCAGAATTTCAATGAACTTGAACTATCGACATAATCAGATTTTTAGTTTAGTATGTACTATTTTTTTAGTCAAACAAATAAATATTTTGAAAATGGATATATCATGATTGCAAAGTAATTTATTTATTTTATTTTATTTTATTTTTTATTTATATAATGCCAAGTAATTTATTTATTAAAAGATTATCTAATAATAACTAACTACTGGAAGTAGAATCCTTGGCCTCGAATCAAATCTTACACGTCTTCTTTCGAGTTGCCTTATTTTAGGTTGTGTCTTAGCTGTGAGATCCATTCAACCCATTTACAACGTACATACGTATGTACGTTTAAAATCAACAATCTAAACTTTAAAATTACTCGGCTGTCATGTGTATGTCCGTCCAAATATGAATCAAAACCGATACCAACAAGCACAATATTTATATTAACATTACTTTAAAACATTTGCGCTTTTGATTCGAAATTATTTATAAATAGGTCATATTGAATTTTACGATTTTATTTAGAAATACTATCAAGAACAAGTAAATTATACATGCAAAATACTCGTGAATAACTAATTGCATATTAGAGTTTTAATTGTACAGTATAAAATTTTTTACTAACCTGGGCTGAGTTATGAATAGTAAATGTGATTAAATCCGAGTATTTACACCCCTCGGGATCCTGTTCAACGATCGATGGAACAATACATAATCCAAGTACGTACGTACTTGTGTACTAGATAAATATTAAAAAGTTACACGTACATATGCATACAATATATTGTTAATTTTATCGTATTAGTACTATGTAGTTAAAATATATCATAAGTACGGTACTTATTTATTGCACTTAACTTTAATAACTGAAATTGTAAGAACGTACGTACGTACGTACATATTTTAAGTACTTAAGAATTTGACATTGCTACGTATTATGAGAATCTTCATGCTTGATATAAGAAAAATTTACACCTGCAAATATCGTAATTGATAGTGCAATAATAAAAAAAATATAAAATAAACAGTATTTACCTCCTTTATCCAATTTGATTGGTCAATCTTGCATATAAGTACAGAAGTATATGCATTTCTAATAAGCAACTTACCGAAGAACAATATGCAATTCTCATAATTTGAGAATGCATGTTTGCTTTCACACGAACAGAATAATTGATAAAATTGTATAATTCGAGTTGACAAAAATCAACAGATCAAAAAGTGCTAAGCAGGAGTAATGTGTCCTGTGAAATAGCAACAGGAACAAGACCAATCCTGCATAATCAAGATTACAGGAGTGTGAAGCTAAATAATCTTCCGCGTACAGTTATTCTTTCCTAATAATGGATATTATGAGAAACAGGCTGATTCAAAGGAAAGTGGAGTTTTAACTCCACACTAGCCATCGCCAATTCAGCCCTAGTTAACCTCGCAACCCTGCCCTTTCTCACCAAAAAAACTGTCATTTTTAATATTATACGTAGCACTGAATATAAATATCACATGGTCATGTTCATAGCCGGTCTGCATTATGCAGGTAAGAAATCACTGGCCTGCATTATGCAGGTAAGAAGCCACTGACCTGCATTATGCAGGTAAGAAGCCATTGGCCTGCATTAAGCCGCACAAACTCAACTGATTATGGTTATCCCTGGCGCAACATTACGTAATTGCATTCCCGTTTCAGTTTTAACGATAACTAACGACTAATATAAACTGCATTTATCAAATTAAATTCAACTTTATGTCAGACCAGATTATTCCGACATAAACATTCGTCAATACTTTTTATTATTAATTAACGTAATCATTATTTCTTGACATCTATATAATTCAAATTTTTTATACAATGTATGCGCTCATTTCCTCGAAAACTATCTCTTCAATTTCATTTACTCAACATTACAAAAGGCGATAATTTAGCATTTTATAAGTTGTAGATACATATTGCGTATTAGTAAATTGCCCCCAGTGAAGAAATTTGCACAAGTAACGCTATAGGAGCGCCGGTGGCGCCCCTTATTATATGAGTGCTGCCAAAAGGAAACCCGAAAATCTCTTTTTGTACGACAAAAAGCGGGATTTTAAAAATTCGGGTAATATGTTATTGACTAGCTATTGATTGTGCAAGCTTAATGAGCTAATAAATTATATGTGTACGTAATAATGTGCTAATGTACTTCTGATTTGCTAATCACACAATCGAAACGACTAGAAATGCAGATTTCCGGGCTTTCTTTTGGTAACATTCATATATTGATATCGATATGTTACTCACACATCATTTAGATGATCATTAACACGTTTAATCAGGATTCTGGGAAAAAATATTAATACCGATACTAGATTTTATTTTAATAAAGATTATATTAAGAAGTAAAACTAAATCTATAATGTAAATAATTTTAAAACAACCATAATTTAATAATATTTTGTTTATTGCCATATTAAAAAAGTTTGTTCAGTTATTGTAGGCATTGTCCGAAAAAATGTTCGGAATGGAATCGATTTTCCGAATGCCAGTACGATATTGTACAATTTTTTTACTGTGATGTGAAAAAGAAATTTTTAGATTGACAACATTAGGTATAAACATTGTACAAAATCAGTACAGTATAAGGTATGTTCGGAAAATTGACTCCAATCCGAACATTTTTTTGAACAAAACCTGAATAACTTTAGAAAATTTTTAGAATACTGTCGACAAAATTTGGACAAATTGGTTTATAGGGTTGGTAATATTCTTGATTTCCTTGTTGCTAAAGATATAATTCATATTTAATGATCATAATAACATAAAGGTGTCATATGTAGATCATCGTAGACAGAAGGACAATACCTTACTAGGCGTTTAAGCGAACAATAACTGCATTATTCGTCGAAGATCTGTTAGATGCTATTAGTCGTTATCGCAGCGAATAGCGTCTAACAGTTCTTTGACGAAAAATGTATAACTGTTATTTAAAGAAGTTTAAATACTGTATGTCGTGTTATTGTAATTTTTTTTCGCTTGTTACACGATTTTATTACAAATTTGAGGGCGGATGTGATCTTCGGTCCAGAATTTGCTTGACAAGAGAGCATCCATAACTCATTAATTGCTAATCTGGATAACTCATCCGTTACATTTTTACGAATCAGGATACCTTATCCATTAGCGTTATATTTTTACATAGACTAAGGATTATCTGTAATCCGGATAATCAGCGATGCTGGGACTTTTGGATGAACACACTAAATTATACTAATGTGCCAATAAAGAGCTTGAAGTGTTTAAAGGGAGTTACAAATGCAATAATATACAGTCAGCTCTCTAAATGCAACTTGTAGGGACCGGACTTATGACAACTTGCATTTAGAGGATAGTAAGAAAATTTGAATCTATAGAGATCAAGTATATATTTGTGCACAGTTTGAAGTTATTTAGTACTCTTAAATTATTTCTAAATTGTCACATCTTTAATGGCAAATTGAATAGTGCCTTACAGTATTATATTTACAACAAATAAAATGAACCTTTTTATGTAAAAAGATACGGATAAATAGATGATAAATTCTACTTAATCTCATTCATATCTAATATTGTATTATCTTAGTTTATGATCATAGATTTCAAGTTTCCAACAAACACCCATGATTAACCAAATGAACCGGAACCGAATAATCAAAATACGATAAACATAGTTAAATGAGAATTTCATTCTAACCTAATCTACATAGCAGATTTTACAGTACTTTCTTTATATGAGTTTGGATTAACAGCATAAACAAGACGCCAATTTTCTGTTTCTTTTTAAAAGTTTGTATTACCGGCATAAATAAGCAAAGCTGGGACACCAAATCTTTGCATTATCTGACAAATACTTATAATCATAAATTTTTTCGTCTTTTTTTTTCATGTTCAAATCAGCAAATCATGATTATAAATTGTCGAATAACACCAATACTGTGCAAATCATTGAATACGATAATTTGGTTCAACTAGGCTTATAGTTTCATCAATTAGCCAACAACGAAACTCAATTCGTCAATGGCAAAATAAGTTCGTCCAATATCTATAGTGGGCGATTTTACCCTGGTCCCCATTTTTCTCTATTTCTATGTTTGGATAGTGCTCACGAATAACGGTTTAAAGAATAATCATTAATAATAACCCAGGACTTAAACTTTGTCATATATTCAAATGGATCTTGATCTGCATTACTAGCAGCTGCAGACTCCTTTTGTTCTCAAGTTATGTTATCTCAGTCTTAGAGTCATAGCTCTTCACTTCTATACTTTCAAGCTCAAGCAGTTGAGTTGAGATGAGAAAGCTATCCTAAAATCATAAGGAGAGCAATGGTGAAACTAAAAAATAAAAAACCATTATTTCTTACAATCATTATAAATACTTCTTGTGAACAAATGACATACGTCAGAGTAATTTAACTCTTCGTTACATGAATATCGTAATTCTTAATTTCTTAATAATTCTGGCCTCGTTACTTTATTAATAAACCAGTCATATAGTAGAAAATAAACAATTTAATATTATACAATAGATTTTATTATTTTATATTTACTGTACTTAAAGTTATTGCTGAAGATATAAAAGTGGCAATCGTGAATATAACTACAAATATAATAAACAGTCCTAAAATCGAATTATTACCCTCACCACCCTCATCACTATTATTATTATTCATCTTTTTAATACACCACAGGCATATGGCACTTGGCAAAGAAACACAAAACAAAATAAGTGTTATTAATCTGCTAGTTGAAAATGGTTCAGTAGCCAATGCAATTGTATTGTGAATTTCATAGCCTGTATTAAATAATACTATTAAAATAAAAATAATAATTGCCAAATAAGTACAACAACTGCTTTCATCTGAACCACCATGAAGTTTTTCTTGATGTGTTGTAGAATAGTTTGTTCTGAAGTTGTTTTTTTTTAGTTCTATTTCATTAGAGTTTCCTTTTTCTAAATTAGCTTCGACCTGTTCCTTAACCATAGCTTGATTGACTAAGTTCGGGGTTATTTCATTTAACACTCTGAATTCATCGTATTTATTGAATATCAGATTAGTTTTAGCAGGTATTGGTATTAGGTTTAGTAGAAAAACTAGTTTTTTCGTTTAAAACTGTTTATCAAGAAAAGCAGACTTTTTACTTAATTTGTAGTTATATAATTTTTCTAGGAAAATATGAAGCAAAGTTATAAACTGTACAATATGCAGTACTGTTATACAATATACCATAATAACTTTAATATTATAGTATTTTAATTTCTAAAATAGACAACCTTTGTTATCTTACCATTTAAACAATCATAATTACACAATAGTTTAAGGTTGGATACTGTATCAAGTAAAGTATTCGCAAAATTCACTAATAATAGTCAAACATAAGTAGCTTTTTAATAAACTGTTGCCGTAATATAAATAATCACTTTATAAAAGTTCATTAAGCTTTATAATAATTTTTGAATTTTGGCTAGTAAGTATAAGTTACAGCGCATATCTGAAAAAACATTCCCTTTATTAAAAAATTTACATATACGAAGAAGTACATACGGAGCCCTCAGATTTTTATAGCAATATTGCGAAAATAACCAAACTAAATTAAATAAATTTTTTTCTTATTTTTTGTTCTATGGATATATAGAATTAAAAATAACTAATTTTGACTACATTTGAAAATGTTGCTGTCGCAATATCACTGGTACTAGCTCTTTATAGAGATATCGTGTAGGATGATCTAATTTCGGGGCCAACGTCAATCACGACATTTTCAAAATGATAAATCGCAGCTTATTTGTACAATAAAAAAACTTGTCATTCAATTGTGTGATTATAAAGTGACTTTCTTAATTAAAAACTTTCTATAAGTATATTCTCAAAATGTCACTCACATTCTCAAAAATAATTTTGCTTTATCTCGCAATCTGGTTATACGTTACATTAATCCTAGAATGATAATTTTTAAGTAGCACATTACATAAATATTTCTTAAATTATCGGTTTCATTAAAATATTTATGTATACCGATACACTTTATCGATGCTAATTTAGGAAATATTTGTTTTCATTACATACTACTTATTTATACAACAAACACTTCTCTCAATGAATTAGATAAAGAATCTGATTGGTCAGTTTGATCAGGCTGATCAATCAGGTTCGTAAAGTTCATTAAGGAAGGTGACCAAAATCGACAATTTAAGAAATTTATGCTACCGGATTAAACCTTGTAATGATTAAACTTTCCTGCTCCATTGCGAGAAATCCAAAAAGAATAATTTCTTCTGAATTTATTTTTTTGTGATACACTCCACTCTTCTTTTTGGCAAAACAATAAATATTTATGCATGTACGTATGTACGTACGTACATACTAGAGTTGCTGGTGAAACTGGTGACTGTCTAAAATCTGATTGGCTATTGCATTTAATAGTCAATCAGATTTTAAATACTGTAGTCACCAGTTTCACCAGCAACTCTAGTACATAAGTACGTACGTACCTATATATTTGCATAGACTTTTTATGTTATATAAAAATTTTAATTAATTTACACATTTTACAATACTCTTTTAGAAGCTTCTTAGTATAGGGAGGTTAAATGACCTAAGCAAGCCTGATGCTTTCATTTCGCCTTATAACATATTTTTTAATCCATCTTAATCTGCAATTTTTTTCAGTATAATCTACTACCCAAAGTTATAAAAGGCTTAAGAAATTGCAAAAAAAAATTCAAAACTCATGTGATATAATACAATAATAATGATAAAGCAATCATGCAGCTAGATTGATATGTATTAAGTAACTTATACAAGTTAGTAACAAAACAAGAATGCTTTCGTAATGTTTTCATTAATAAAATTTAATGAAGTAAATGAATTATAAATTAATTAAATAAAATTTTATAACGTTTATTACAGTAGAAAGCATGTAAATTATCATGATTTTCCAATATTTGGAATATAATTAATTTATTCAATTTATAAACAAACTATCAAAGTCAATCTTTTAGATAAGTTTTAAAAGTAAAATTCATCAGTTCTACAATAATAAGATTGGGTGAGCAAGCAATTAAAAATAGACCGCTTTTTTAATGATTCATTTTATATTTTTATTTTGAAAATAATAAATTTCTTTAGTATAAATAATATTGCTTCTGTTGATCTTTGTACTTTGAAAGCTTCATTTAATTTGTAAACTTTGTTAGTTTGTATAGGTCATCTTTACAAGTGGGCTTGGTGGGGTAAATTGACAAAAAAAGATCTTCAGAAAATCAATTTTTATATTACAAATTTTATAATAAATTATAAAAAATTACAAATTTTAAAGAGCTAGATTGAATACTTTTAGTAATACTACTACTTTTGTGTCTTAAGTGAAAATAATCTTGATAATATTCTAAATTAATTTATATAAAAAAATGGATTCTGTAATTTATCGCCATGGCGTTACATTGCCAGTCCCTACATGTCATGTGGAAATATATTATGTAATACATTATTTAAAAATTTTACATCCCGGAAATTATAATTTATCACTAGAGCGATATATCGCCACTTCTATTCTACTAATAAAAGCATAAAAACAAATATAAAACAATTTATAAGTTACCTAAAGGTTTATATTCATCAGAATTAAATCTTTATTAGATATAAGTAATAGTCTCATAGCTATAAGAAAAGTTATATCCAACTTTTTTGACTGAAATATGCTACATAAGCCTTAGATTTTATTGATCAATTCAAAACTAGCGATACAACGCCATGGCGAAGAATTACTAGTCCCATAATGGAAAATGCAAATTTGTACAAGCCTAAATACATTTATTCGGCCTCAAAAGCAAAAAAATCAAACCATTAATTGCTACATTATTGTTCTACAACCTTCACACTCTGCTATTTTTTTTTTCGCATAATACTAGTTGAATTAAATCCTCATAACTCATTTGTAACCTGTATTTACAAATTGATACGAATAGCCTTCGAGTAATATTGTTTTGGCAGTTAAACAGATTAGTGCAAGACCAGTGCAGCCTTTGTGTACTTTCAAACTGAGATTTCACCTGATATGTCCCTCTACAATTACTTAATACGTACACATTCACTATTTAGTTTAATTCGTATCCTTGTCGTTTAATTTCAAATTGATGCAACTTCCTATATCCTTAAATAAAACTTGTATATAAAATCAAAGTTACGTCAATTTACGAACTACAATAATATCAGAGATCAATTTCAGACCTGCAGAAAATCAATACCATAGACGCACTAATATTTAACAAATTCTGCACTAACCCTGTGCCAAAACAATATATTTGGAGGGCAAATACAATACGTGAATAAGTACATATTACCTAAAAATACCTAATTAGTAAAGTAATAAGTCTACTTTGCAGTTTTTCTGATAATGACCTGTGTTTCCACATTTCTTACATCGACGCTGACTCTTTATCTTAGATTTGTAACTTTCTTGAGATGATTTAAACCGTTTGGTGCCTAATGGTCATCCTTTTCCATGACGATTCTTTGGATTTTTTAATTGACTTATTGCAAAATCATTTTTTTCATCGTTGCCATTACTTTCTGAACTTTCATCTGAATCGGATTGTTCACTACTATTTTCTTCAGCAAATTCTTGAAGTAACGCAATGAGCCGTTGTGACTTTGAATTGGTTTGCAATGCCTTACAGAGAGCTTTTTTATATGCACTGTGTACTTTTCCGTAAGCTAGTTTTTGTTTAAGAACTGTTAGACTTTCTTCACGAAAGTCTTTACAGTTCTGATTAAAGGTACACAAATATGGTACGGGGCTGTTCGAAGCAGTGTTGGCACATGACCAGGTCATAACAGGTTATATTATTAAGTTCAATTAGTAATATCATATGACCTCAGTCATATGACTTCACTAATTGAACTTAGTAATATGACCTGTTATGACCTGGTCATGTGCCAACACTGGTTCGAAGTATATGTCACAATCTGATTTTCTTCTATAAACTTATCAGCTAACAGAAATGGCTCTTCTGTGCCATTTTGATCTTCATAATACTATCTCGTCGGAATTAGTCTAATATGGAAATAGGCGTTTTTTGTAACTAACATTACTTGAAAGTAATGCCTACAAACAATTTCACTTCGAATTATTGAAAGGCATGTGCATAAGTATCCCCGATTTTGTAATAATAAAATATGATGCTTGACATTTGACGAATTCCCAACATTTACAGTCCAGATCTCATTAATATTTTGAAAGCCTACAAATTCGAACATTTGTTTCAGCATGGCCTGTAGTGTGTCAACTAATGTTTCATCACTTGTAGTTAGATCGACCTATACCAATTACAATTATTTAGTTAGTACACACAATTAATTGTTTTTCACTAACTTAAAAGTCCAATTCTAATATCCTAATCCAAATTCCGAATTTAAATTTCTTGCACTAATTTTAATGCATGCTCAAGTGCTTTTTTTAATAAGGCAAAAAGATTTGTTATCCAATTAGAATCTTTTCATAAAAATGGTTTTTATACAAAGTAATAGGTCTAGGGTGTTATTATGAAAAGATCTTAATTGACCTTATTTGCAAAAAATAATTGTCTATTGCATATCAAATTTTTGACAAAATATGAATCTCCTTTTGTCCATACTTTCCAATTCAAATTTATTTCTATACCGATGCCCAAGATTGCATAAGTTGTATATCAGAATTTTTGATTAAACATGAACTTTCTTGCCATACATTTTCATAGCAATCTCTCAAATTATATCCGCATATCAAAATTTTGAACCCTTAGTTCATACTTTTCAACTCTGTTCTATTTCTATAGCAACATCCACGATTATTAGATTTTTGATAAAACATGAACCTATTTTGTTCATACTTTTCAAATTCCATTTTTATAATACTGTCCAAGATTCCAAATTCATTTCTATAATACTGTTCAAGATTCCAATTCTATTTCCATAGCAACGTCCAAAACTATATGCTATATATCGGATTGTTGATAAAATAGGAACCCATTTCATTTATACATTCCAACTCCAGTTCTAATTTCGTCCACTATCTCCAATACTAATTTGAGTTCTATCTTAAACTATCTCTAGTTTGCGTACTAGTTTATACCCCAACACCTATATAATTCTACTACGCTTTAATATATGTAATGACTAATGCAGAAATTTGGCTGATGCTGAACTAATATAGTTAACTAGCTAATTTCCTGTTTCAGCAAATTTCTGCACTAGCTGCTTAAAGTTATGAATATTTATATTGATAGTGTATTCGTACTTGTGCATGAAATTTAAAAACCGGAATTTGCCTATAATTATTCATAACAATTAATAACTACTATATTTACCTCATCCATAATTTTAGCACTTTTTATATTTATAGAATTTGCCATATAGTATAACGATTGATTCATTTCGCTTCTATGCATTTTCAGTATAGTGGGTATAAGATATCGTTGAAGGCATTGATCGATCCTTATAAACAAAAAATTCGTATTGTCTTAACCTCTTTTGGTGGGAATAGATAATTTCCAAAAATTATATTCGTTTTCTTTGTCTTGCTGGTCAAGAAGCCGATGAATTTCGGTCATAAGATCACATAATGATGCATTTGAATTGTGTAATAACCATTTCAAATATCCATTCACAAATTCCATGCGAGAGGTTGCTATCATACCACCTGTGAACCTAAACTCTGTAAAACAATGCGCCCAACACATTTTTGATTTATAAATGAATTTCAGATCATTTTGAGCATCTGGGTAATCACGGAGAAGCTTATTAAACCTTTGATTAAATGTATCTTCAACGAAGCTATTACGACAACAATAAAATTCATTAAGAAAATTTTGATATTCATTGCCTAAGGTTTTTCTAAGGTTTTTATATAGATTTTGAGTAATATGATATGCACAGTGAATAGGATAAGTTGAAGTAAATATTCTATGAACAGCTGAATCAATAGCAGGATCAGCATCTGTAAGTATTATCCTTGGAATTACACCTGTTGATTTAATGATTTGATCGAATATCCATGCATGCGACTCTAGACTTTCGTCAGCCAGAAGACCTTGTACAAATAGTATATTACATTGTTCATTGTTAAATCTAACAAATAGAGATAGGGCCATTCCATACCGGTTTGTTTTGTGAGTAGTGTCATTAAGAACACAATCCGAATATTTTATCCAGTTTTCGATTTGTTCCGGTGTCATCCACATCAAGCATGTCAAAACATTATCATCATCCTAGTTTCGTGCTATATACCATCGTGAATCAAGTTCTTTCTGTCTATCGAGCCAATTTGAAATTTGCACAGCATCATTTGACAGAGACTTTTATGTTAGACGAAACTTATTTATTGCTGTATATAGATCTTTAGAATAGATGGGATGCAATGGATATTTACTTTCAAGAAACTTTCTCTGATTTATTGCACCAAATTTGCAAGAGACGGTCATAAACTTAATGTTATCCATCATTTCATTTGTAAATTTTTTAGAATTCTCGAATTCTATTATTTTCTTGTTTAAAATATGATTATGCTTTTCTTTGACTTTATTAACAAACACTAACTCCTCGGGATTTTTAGTTTTAGAACATGAAACATTAACTAAAAATGGGCACTGTATTTTTTTTGAGCCTGTATCTTTACTAGAATTCAGGTTATAGATTCGACTATGGTCACATATGAAGGTTCGGCACCGAACAACATCTTCTTCACGGCATACCCGATCTTTGATTATTCGAAAGCCTTGCTTCTTGGCCCATTCAGTTAAAAAATTCTCACACAAGTCCCAATTCTGAAAAGTTTTTCCCGCATACAAAGTTACTGTTACGGTTTCAGATATAGATATATTTAATTCAATGATGTCCTCTATCCTTATACAAATAAACTTACAAAAAGCAGCTAAAAAAAGTTATCTATTCTAATGTTTAGTAGTTTTATATGGTTGTAACATTAATATGACGCAATTTTTTCAACTACAATAACAAATTATTTTGATGTCAATTTTTCGTTATTACAATGTAATTTACAATGATGTGATAAAAATTTATTATATTAAGCGTGCGATTAAATTTCAGATCAGTTGTAACGTAATTAGATCAAATGCATGTAAAATTTTAATTAACTTAGTTTTTTAGTATATAATTAATTATATATTACTATAGGGTATAGCGTTATAATGCTATAGCGATAAACTATAATATTTTAAAAAAATTAATTTTTAAAAATTTGTCAATTTACCACCTTTTTGCAGCACCAAGCCCAAGTAATCATGTTGCAGATCATGTGATTTATATGAATAATATTAGGACACTACCAAAAAAGTATTATAATTTTGGGTAACTTTATCATAAACTCAGGTTTATGTTAATAATATAGACCCCAAAGAGGTTTATATTAAGACAAATATCTAATTATAGACTCTATAATCAACCAATTATATTTAAGTATAGAGTGTTAGTTATTGTAACCTGTCACCACAACCCACATGGTTGTGCAACCTACCACCCCAAAGGTGTAAATTATGATCAATCAGATCTAAAATCACATATTTCATTACTTTATTTTTTTTGCTACTTTGCTTTGTTTTTTTTTTTTTTTTTTGCTTTGTTTTTTTTATGAAAATTACTATGATTAACAGGCTGTGAAATTTACAGGTCTGTTTTTTTAATTGCCAATGCATAGTTGAATAGTTTTACCCTGTGCTGCCAGATCCAGGCTTTCTTACACTTTTTGTTTTTTTTTGCTTTTTCTTTTTTCGTCTTCTTTTTTTTTTCATCACCTTTCTTTTTTTCATTTGCTTCCTTTTTTCATCCTCTTTTTTTTTCACGGCTATTTTTTTCTCAGCTTCTTTTTTTTTCAGTTTCTTTTTTTTCAGCTTCTTTTTTTTCAGCTTCTTTTTTTTTTTGGCTCCTTTTTTCACTTCTTTTTTTTTGGCTTTTTTTTTTTTTAGCTTCTTTTTGTTTTTTAGATGGATTTGGGGTCAGTTATTGATCTCCACCCCTACAATTAAATTGCCTAATCAAATTCTTTTTTTTTGTAGATTAGATTTTTTTTGCTTGTTTATTAACTTTTTCAGTCTTTCTTTAGGTTTTTAGGCTTCAACAGATAAGAATCACAAACATGCTCTTTCAGGTAAGATATTATTTAATTTCCTTATTCTTTTTTTTAGTTGTCTTTTTTGTTCAATAACTTTGTTCTTCTTTCAGATTTCACTGGGTCATGAATCAGCGCCGGGACAAATGTGAAGTGGTTCTTCAGGTAAGATATTATTTTAGTTTTCTTTTTTTTTTTATTTAGCTGTCTTTCTTGTTTACTAATTTCTTCCCTTTCTTCTTTAGGTTTTAGGTTTTACTGGTCATGAATCAGCACCAAAACAAATATTAAGGATACTTCAGATATAATAGTTTTTTTTTTCTAGTTGTCTTTTTTATTTACTAACTTTTTTTTTCTTTCTTTAGGTTTTAGGCTTCTCCAGGTCATAAATCAGCACCGGGATGATACTTTGGATATGATATTATCTTTATGTACAGTTTTTTTTTTTTTGTATTTCTTGTTCACTACTTTCTTTCTTTAGATTTTAGGTTTTGCTGATCATAAATCAGCACCATCAGCACCAGGATAAACATGAAGGGCACTTCAGATAAGATATTATTTTTTAGTTTCCTTTTCTTTTTTTTCTTTTTCTAGTTGTCTTTCTTGGTCACTAACTTCTTTCTTCAGGTTTCAGGCTTTGTTGGTCATAAATCAGCATCAGGACAAATATAAAGGATACTTCGTATATAATAATTATCTTTATATTCAGGTTTTCTTTTTCTTTTTTTTTTTTTTGTATTTCATGTTCACTACTTTCTTCTTTCTTTAGGTTTGAGGCTTCACTAGTCATAAATCAGCACCATCAGTACTGGGACAAATATGAAGAATACTTCGGTATGATAATTATTTTCATGTTTAATTTTTTCTTTTCTTTTTTTTTTTTGTATTTCTTGTTTGCTACTTTTTTCTTTCTTTAGGTTTCAGGCTTTACCGGTCATTAGCATCAGGACAAATGTGAAGGGCACTTTAGGTAAGATATTATTTTTTAGTTTCCTTTTCTATTTATTTTTTTTTCTAGTTGTCTTTCTTGGTCACTAACTTCTTTCTTTAGGCTTCACCAGTTATGAATCAGCACTGGGACAAATGTGAAGAATACTTCAGGTATAATATTTTTAGTTGCCTTTTTTTTTTTTCTCTCTTAGTTGTTTTTCTTATTCATTAACTTCTTTCTTCTTTTTTAGGTTTCAGGCTTTGCTGATCGTGAATCAACACTAGTACAAACATGAAGGATGCTTTGGGTATGGTATTATTTTTTAGTTTTCTTTTTTTTTTTCTTAATTGTCTTTCTTATTCACTAACTTCTTTCTTTTTTTTTAGGTTTCAGGCTTCACCAGGTTGCAAATCAGCACTGAGACAAATATGAAGAGGCATTTCGGGTAAGATATTATCTTCGTGTTCAGTTTTTTCTTTTTTTTTCAGTTGCTTATTGTTTACTAACTTTGTTTTTTTTTAGGTTGTAGGTTTTGCCAGGTCGTGAATTAGCACCACAAAAAACCTGAAGCGGCACCTTTGGTAAGATATTATCTTTAATTTTCTTTTTTTTTTAATTCTCTTGTTCATTAACTTCGTTTTTTAGGTTTCAGACTTCACTAGGTCATGAATTAGCACCGGGAAAAACCTAAAGTGGCACCTTCAGTAAATATTATCTTTAATTTTTTTTTTTTTTTTTTTTTTTTTTTTTTTTTTTTTTTTTTTTTTTTTTTTTTTTTTTTTTTTTTTTTTAATTATCTGTTCTTTTTTTAGGTTTTGGCTTTGCTGTAATATAAATCAGCACTGTAAGAGCATTTTTGGATGAGATGTAGTTTGTTTAGTAGAAGTTTTTTTTTTTTTGTAAAGTGTGAAATTGGCCCAGGTATGTAGATTTATGAGATCATCATGTAATCATCCATTATAGTATATTGTATATTAATAATAAATTAAATATTTGTGTAATAATTATATAATCGTGCATTTTTTTTTGAATAAAGTTTTTTTAAAAAAAAATAAGTAAATAATCATGTGAAGGTGGGTGCACTACCATGTAGTGCCAAATTATCTTTGATCAAAGTTATGTTAAAAATTTTGAGCAGTTTCTATATCATTGATGTTTAATAATTCTCAACCTTTGATTGAAGATACTCGGCATTCACTTAACCAAACTCGATAAAAAATTTTTTATTTGGATTCTACAGTTCTGTAGTATTCAAATAAAAAAATTTCATCGAATTTGATTGAGTGGGTGCCAAGATATTCTTAGATCAAAGTTGATTTAAAAATTTTGTCACAGTTTCTATACAATAGGTGTTTAAAAATTCTTTAAAACTATGATCGAAGATATCTTGGCACCCACTTGACCAAATTCGATGAAAATTTTTTTATTCAAATTCTACAGAACTGTAGAATTTGAATAAAAAAAATTTTATCGAATTTGGTCAAGTGGGTGCTGAGATATCTTTGATCAAAGTTGGTTTAAAAATTTTGCTCAGTTTCTATGCAATAGGCGTTTAGAAATTCTCTAAAACTTTGATCGAAGATATCTCGGCACCCACTTGATAAAATTCGATGTAAAGTTTTTTATTTGAATTTTACAAT